AGAGTGAATTGACTATTGGGTTAGTGAGTTTTACATCGGGGAACACTTCATCCAAAGGTAGTGAGTAAACCACACAAGTGAACTTGACACCGCATCATAACCCAAAACCTTAAGGTATTAGGTAGGTGGATCTTCTCATTTATATACTACTTAACATACCAAACTTTAATTGATACGGGACTCACTTTACACTTGAACTCCAACACTCTCCCTTAACTGTGAATCTCTTCTAGATGGTCTGTTTTTTCCTCAAGCAAAAGTCTTTTTTTCATCCATGAGTATTTAATGGTGACCTACTTACACCACCGTTGCACATCAACGAGACACATCTTCCACATCTCTAGGGAGAATTTTCAATACAAGGATGATCTCATTCTTGGATCCTACACCAATTCACTATTGGCGTCTATAACTAATTCCATTGCTTAATACTAGTTTAATAAATCAGTCATCAGTCATTTGTTCGAACTAGACTTTGATACTATTATTGTGCACCCAGGGTTTTCTACACACATATCTCCACATTGGTAAGATATTGTCCACTTTAGGCCAAAATCCTCGTGGTTTTACTTTTTGTCATCTCCCAAAAGGTCTTTTAACAATGAAGATAATTGTGTGTGTATATAAACCCATTTCTATCCTTATGTTCTAAGGACATGGGACTTTGATTGCTTCCTAATAACCTTTTTCTCAAACAAAAGATCATGATTTACCTCCTTTTTGTAGTAGAAGTTATATATCAATCTATGAGTATATTCGATTGTGGCCAATAAAGCTTAATTGCACTCTAAATACTTGCATTATTGCTCCATTATTAATTCACGATAGCAGAACACGCCTTCTAACCCTCTATGTTATTAGGTAGACTCTCTTCCATATATGGACCCACCTTTAAAAAGGCTTTCAATACAAGGATGATCCCACTCTTGGATCCTACGCTCTTAAATCTCATTCCAATTCCATTATCTAAGCTCTAATACCATTGTTGTGCACCCAAGGATTTCCACACACACATGTCTTAACATTGGTAAAATATTGTCTACTTTTAGACTAAGCCCTCATGGTTTTATTGTTGGTCATCACCCAAAAGGTCTCTTAACAATTGAGACAAGTATATGTGTATATAAACTCATTTCTATCCTTATGTTTTAAGTGGGACTTTAATTGCATCTCGACAACCTATGTAAGGCTATTAGCATAAGATCTTTAAGGTTCAGAATGTACAATGGTGAAGAAAGGGTCCTAAGTGATGTTAGGCATGTTCCAAAATTGAGAAGAAATCTTATTTCTCTAGGTACTATGGATAGAGAAGCGTATGACTACAAATGCAATCATGGTAGTCTTGATATCCTCAAGAAAGGGCAACTAATCATGAAAGTAGTGAGAATAAATTGGCTATATTCCCTTATTGTTGGTCAAACAATGGTAACATACTTTGCCAACATTGCCACTAATGACAACATGAGACTTTGGCATCACATATTGGCTCACATAAGCCAAAGAGGGATGGAAGAATTGACCAAACAAGGTACCTTTGGTCAATGTTGAATTGAACCCCTAGAATTTTAAGAGCATTGTGTCATTGGAAAGGCAAAAAGGATTAGGTTTCCAACAACAACCACATCATTAAGGAACCTCTTGATAATATACATCTAAACCTATAGGAACTAGCTAGGACTGAGTCACATGGAGGAGCAAGGTACTTTCTTCCTTTGGTTGATGATCATTCACGAAAAGTTTAGGTTTATCTCCTTAAGTATGAGAATGAAGCTATAAATATGTTTAGGTTATGGAAAGTCTTAATTGAAACTCAAATTGGGAAAAAAAAACTCGAGACAGATAATAGACTTGTTTTGTGATGACAAGTTCAAAAATTTATGCAAAAAGAGTGGGATAGCTAGGCATTTAATCCTGAGGGGAACTCCACAGTAGAATGGCTTGGCAAAAAAGGTTCAATAGAACCATTCTTTAGAGTTTAAGGTGCATGTCGAATCATGCTAGATTACCAAAGACATTCTAGGCTAAGGTAGTAAGTATTGTTGTATACTACATAAACAAAAGTCCCTTAAAAGCTTTGGGGTTCAAAAACCTCTCAAGAAACTTAGAGTGGAAGGAAGACCAACTATGATGAGCTAAAGACCTTTGGATGCATTACATATGTCCATCTTAAGTAGGATAAGTTGGGGCCAAGGGCTCTAAAATGTGTACTCATAGGCTACCCTACAGGAGTCAAAGGTTACAAGCTTTGGTGCCTAGAATTTGGATACAAGAAGTTCATAGTAAGTAGAGAGTTAGTCTTTAATGAGTTTTAAATCGCAAATTTAATTGTCTCATTAAAGCCCATTGAACTATAGAACATTCAAGCAGAAATAAAGACTAAAGAATCTATCCCTAGTCAACATAATTCTACTATTGATGAAGATGAAACTAAAGGTGCAAACAAGATCCTAGATTAGGAGCAAGCAAGAGATCTTCCACATTAGGACTACTACCTTGCTATAAATAGAAAGAGGATAATGATCAAAGCTCTTATAAGGTGTGGCCATGTTGACCTAATCTCTTTTGTTTTCATAGCTGGAAAAGTGATTGAAGAGCAAGGTGAACCTCAGACCTATGAAGAGGCCACTACCAACATAGGTAAGGCTAGATGGATTGCTATAATGGAGGAAGAAATGAATTCTCTAATTTAGAATCAGATGTGGTCCCTTATTGATTGTCCAAAAGGACAATCCATTGTTGGATGTAAGTGGTTATTCAAGAGGGAAAAAAGTATAAAAGAGGTAGAAAATGCTAGATTTAAAGCAAGACTAGTTGCAAGGGGCTTCACATATAACAAAGGGGTTGATTCATTGAAATCTTTTCTCTTGTGGTCAAGCACAACTCCATCAGGATTCTTCTTGCCTTGGTTGCACATGGAATTGGAACAAATGGATGTTAAGACAATCTTTCTACATGAGGAATTAAAAGAAAAGATATATGTGAGGATATTAGTTGGTTAATTCTATTTTAGCAATTATGAGAATTAACATGTTGTCTATTCCTACTAGTATCAATCTATCTTATATAAATTTATATTGTTATATTTCAATAAAGATGTGAGGTTAATTCCAAAACAAACTTCAATTCTTTAAATCTCATTCACAACATAATTAATAATTTTTAACTACTTAATTTCTTTTAAATCATGTATACTTTTATTATAAACATCCCTCATTGAGTCACATATGATCACCATACATGATAAAACTCCCCCTCGAAGTACTTAACACAACTATATATTGGTGACTCTAATTTATTATTATATATTAGTTGAACTAAAATAATCTCGCACTAGTTGATCTATATGTTTAATAGTAATTATTTAATAAACAATATTTTAAATTTCAATTAACTTTACTAAGAATGATTTTTATTTCTTTTCATAAAATATTTATCCATGAATGTTTGTTTTAATGGAAATAAGATGAAAAAAATTAAAAATAAAATAAGGTAGTGGAAAATTTGCATGTCACTTTATTTAAAGCACAACAAATAAAGAAAAAATAATAATTTTTTTTTATGACATCACACTAAAAATTCGCTCCTCAGATGGAGACATATTTCTTTCATTTTTTATTTTATTTATTTATCCAATTTATAAGATTCACACACATATATATTCATTAGAATTACGATAACCATACTAAAGTTCGAAGTTTTATCTCTATTCATCTCAACAATACATTTTACATTTTTCTCTTATTAATCTTTTTAAGAGTATAGTTCATTTTTTAAATTATAACATGTGACGTTCTCAATTTCTTTTTCACAGATTTAATACAACCAAAAATTGATAAAAACACAATACTTAGTTGATAAGAATTTTCTTGAGACAACCAAAAACTTAATCACCAAGAATAAACTTCAATATATAAATTATCGAATTGCCCACGAACAAAATCCAAACTGGAAACTAGCTACTAACATTTCCTAAATAACAATTTGGTTTAAATCCAAAACGTTATTCCCCTTTATTACAACATAAAACAAGTCAAATTAGTGCAATTTTAGGCTATCTTTTTAAAGTTTTAAATCATTGAATGCTTTTTATTCATGTCATGTCAATATCTACGAAGTTCAACTTTCCATTATGTCAACATAAAGATTGATGAAATCGATTAAATATGAATACCGTATCTTATGTATTTTATAACATATACCAGCATAGTTGTACTTGTAAATAAGATTTTTTCATTTTTTTTCTTGTCTATTTTATATTTTTTTAATTATCAATTACATTAATTATATTTTATCTAAAATACTTTTATTTAATAAATAATTTTTTATACAAAAGATAATAAATTTTTGAAATTAATTTAATAAAAAATTTCTCTTGTTAGAATTAAAAAAAAAATTAGATAAATAGATAAATATCTCTTTTACAAATATTAATTAATTAGTTGAAAAATGATTAAGTGAAAAGAAAAAATAATTTTAAAAAGTAATTGAAATTATTGAATAATTCAATATTTTTAACTAAATTAATTAAATTTTTTAAAGGGTGTAATTTAGTTGAAAGAATTTTTTAATTAAAAACGAATGTAGGAAGTAGTATATATTCCGCGTGAAAAATAATCAAACCGCGTGCTTGCCCTTTAATTTTCTTCATCATTTTTTAATCAAATTTTGTATTTTCTTCTTAGTTAACCAACTTCTATAAGGAAAATTAGCAAAAAGTGACTTTCTTATAGAGTACACGAATCATAACCGAATAAATAATGATTTTTTAATGAATGAATCCACCTAAATTGAGCATATAAATAATTTTATTCCTTTTTGGTGTGAAAAAAAAAACATTTTTTGTTTTGGTATATATTAAATTCCACTATCACACATATTTTCCATATTTTGAAATATGACACGTTTGAATGAACATGACCCACCACATGTGTCCAGCGAGATCTTTGCATATATATAACCTTCCAAGGCACACAACATTTGCATCAAAACTTTGAAGAACCTCTTTCATTCAATCCAAGAAAAAAAAAATAATCTCAGGGACCTAAAAGAGCCTTATAATTCAAAGTCATGGGTTGCTGGTCTGCAGAAAATGCCACAAAAGCCTTTCTCAACACATTGAAACTGGTGAGTATGTATATTCTCTTTATGTCTTAACCTCTTAACCAAAAAAGTTTCTTTCTAAACTTCTCAAAATTTGCAAAACTTAAATACTGTTTCTATCGAATTTCTTCGTGCCTATTATGTTGAGCAAATTTTGATGTTCCCTTGCTAAAAAACCAACCACATGAACATGGATTATTTTTCCACATTCATTTTCTAAAAAATGGTAATGTTGTACATCTAACACACTAGCAACATGTTATGGTTGTTAGCAGAGGGTCACCAAAACCATTTTAACACAACGAGCATCGAAGGAAAAGTCCTTTTGTATTGTTCTCCAATTAAAATATAAGTTTTATTGTTGATTTTTAATGCAAAACTTTTATTACGAGAGTTACTTGGAGAAAACCCCAATTCTGATAAATAAATAAAAAAATTAATCCCAATAGTATTTGAGAAACTGTGCATAAGTTTTTTCCATTTAATATTCTCTTGTTATACAATTTTTTTCCTTAACAATCTTTTTTGATATTGATTTTGGAATATTCTTTTGAACAGGGTCAAAAGGCCAAAGAGCCAGCTGTTGCAGAATTCATATCAGCACTGGCAGCTGGCAACAATGCACAACAAATGGTTATGGCATGTGCTGGTGCAGCAGACTCCACCACACTAGCATTGGTCACTGCTGCACACCAAATTGGTGGCCATGTTTGTTGCATTGTCCCTAGCCATGAATACTTAAGTGCCTCAAAAAATGCCCTTGGAGTCAATGCTAGCCAAGTCCAATTCATAGTTGGAGAGGCTCAACAAGAGCTAGTGCTGTTAAGCCAAGCAGATTTTGTGCTAATTGATTGCAACCTTGTGAGCCATGGAGAGATTGTTGGAGCAATCCAATGTGGTGGCATGAAAAATGGCGCAATTGTTGTTGGTTACAATGCACTTAGCTCTAAAGGGGCTTGGTGGTCTTGTGGATCAAAGACTCAGTTGTTGCCTATAGGAAAAGGGCTTCTTGTGACAAGATTTGGAGCAATTGGTACTAGTCCAAAATGTGGATCTGGCATGAGTAAGACCAGAAGTAGTCGTTGGATTGTTAAGGTGGATAAATGCACTGGTGAAGAACATGTGTATAGGATTAGAGTTCCATAAGGGAAAGTGATTCAAGCTTAGTCTTGTAGTTGGTTTATTGGGATGCAAATTGACAAGACTAGGATTATTTAGCCACCATGGGAAAATGGAGTACTTAAATTTTGCAATTAAAAAGGAACTTGGAGTTGGTCTTGCTTCAAATGTATATAGCAAATTATAGAGATATATTAGATAGAATTCGGATTTGAAAATTTTTGTTGTTGTCTTGGATGTACTTCTAATCTAATGAAGAGAGAACAAAATAAAACCATTGTAGACTCTAGCCCAAACTTTATTGTCCCATGTCCTCTTTGTAGCACATGAAAGGACCATAACAAAAAAAAAAAAAAAAAAAACCCCCCCAAAAGGTTTTTTTGAAAAA